ATACCTAGGTAACCTAACAAAGATGTGAAAGACCTCTACAAGGAAAACTATACAATTCTGAAGAAAGAGATGAGGAAGACTATAGAAAGTGGAGAGATCTCCATGCTCATGGATTGGTAGAATCAATATAGTAAAAATGTCGATACTCCCCAAAGTAATCTACATGTTTAATGCAATTCCCATCAAAATTCCAATGATATTCATTAAAGAGATCGAAAAATCTACCGTGAAATTTATATGGAAACACAAGAGGCCACGAATAGCCAAGGCAATACTCAGTCAAAAGAACAATGCAGGAGGTATCACATTACCTGACTTCAAACTATATTAGAAAGCAATAACAATAAAAACAGAATGGTACTGGCACAAAAACAGACATGAAGACCAGTGGAACAGAATAGAGGATCCAGATATGAAGCCACACAACTATAACCAACTTGTCTTTGACAAAGGTGCTAAAAATACATGATGGAGAAAAGACAGCCTCTTCAACAAAAACTGCTGGGAAAACTAGTTAGCAGTCTGCAAAAAACTGAAAGTAGGTCCATGCATATCACCCTATACCAATATTAACTCAAAATGGATCAAGGATCTTAATATCAGACCCCACACTCTAAAGTTGGTTCAGGAGTGAGTAGGAAATACTTGGAGTTAGTAGGTTAGGTAAGTACTTTCTCAGTGGAACCCCAGCAGCACAGCAACTAAGAGAGAGCATAGATAAATGGGACTTCATAAAACTAAAAAGCTTCTGCTCAAGAAAAGAAATGGTCTCTAAACTGAAGAGAACACCCACTGAGTGGGAGAAAATATTTGCCAGCTACACATAAGACAAAGGACTGATAACCAGAATATATAGGGAATTTAAAAAAACTAAATTCTCCCAAAATTAATGAACCAATAAAGAAATGGGCAACTGAACTAAACAGAACTTTCTCAAAAGAAGAAATTCAAATGGCCAGAAAACACATGAAAAAATGCTCACCATCTCTAGCCATAAAGGAAATGCAAATTAAAACCACACTAAGATTTCACCTCACCCCTGTTAGATTAGCCATCATTAGCAACACCACCAACAACAGGTGTTGGCGAGGATGCGGGGGAAAAGGAACCCTCTTACACTGTTGGTGGGAATGTAAACTAGTACAACCACTCTGGAAAAGAATTTGGAGGCTACTTAAAAAGCTAGACATTGATCTACCATTTGATCCAGCAATACCACTCTTGGGGATATACCCAAAAGACTGTGACACAGGTTACTCCAGAGGCACCTGCACACCCATGTTTATTGCGGCACTATTCACAATAGCCAAGTTATGGAAGCAGCCAAGATGCCCCAGCACTGACGAATGGATTAAGAAAATGTGGTATCTATACACAATGGAATTTTATGCAGCCGTGAAGAAGAACGAAATGTTATCATTCCCTGGTAAATGGATGGAATTGGAGAACATCATTCTGAGTGAGGTTAGCCTGGCCCAAAAGACCAAAAATCGTATGTTCTCTCTCATATGCGGACTTAGATCAAGGGCAACACAAGGAGGGGATTGGACTTTGATCACATGATAAAGAGAGAGCACACAAGGGAGGTATGAGGATAGGTAAGACACCTAAAAAATTAGCTAGCATTTGTTGCCCTCAACGCAGAGAAACTAAAGCAGATACTTTAAAGCAACTGAGGCCAATAGGAGATGGGGACCAGGAACTAGAGAAAAGGTGAGATCAAAAAGAATTAACCTAGAAGGTAACACACACGCACAGGAAATTAATGTGAGTCAGCTCCCTGTATAGCTATCCTTATCTCAACTAGCAAAAACCCTTGTTCCTTCCTATTATTGCTTATACTCTCTCTTCAACCAAATTAGAGATAAGGGCAAAATAGTTTCTGCCGGGTAGCCAGGGGGTGGGGGGGAGAGGAAGGGGGGCGGTAAGGGATGGAGTGGGGGCAGGGGGGAGAAATTACCCAAACATTGTATGCACATATCAATAATGAAAAAAATTGTTAAAAAGCAACATAAAAATATTGGTATAATCTTAAGTTATCTTACAACCCTAAGCACTCTTCTTGATGGCTGTCTTCCCATTCTTGTCCCTATTGATTCCTATTTCCTGGTCTTGTAATTCTAGAATAGGTGTCCAGCATTGCCTATCTTGCTGCATGCCTGAGGGCTTTGTGTAGCTTAAAGAGGTGTAAATAGTTCATTCAGAAAAAGTCAGGTATTCTCCAAATTTCCTGTGGTGAATGTGACTGCCAATGGTAGACCCCTAGAAGAGAGAAGGAGAAAAAAGTCAACACACTTTCACCTCTAGATAAAAGTGACACTGTCAAAGTTTGGGAGCAACTACTTCCCCAAAAATTTGTACTGTGACTGGGTGTGGCGGTACACAGCTCTAATCCCAGTACTCAGGAGGCTGAGACAGGAGGATCAAGAGTTCCAGGCCAATCTGGATTACATAGAGAGAGCTGTCATAAACACACACACAATATGCTGTGGCGAGAACAGTCAGGAAACAGGTATGTTTTGGTGCTGACAAGTTGAAGCCAGGGCCTCGGGCATGCTACCACATACTCTACCACCGATCTGTACCCCACTCCCCGAAAGAAGATGCTTTTAATTGTCCTCATGGTTTTGATGTAAGTGTTGCCTGTTAAAAACTTTAATACCCTTAGCCTGGGATCAGTGTTTTTTCTAATCTGTTTTAAAATTCTTTGAATGAAACTTTCAGTGTATTTTGGGCTAGGTTGTTAAGAACATGAGAATACAGTAATAACACCTTCAGGTTACTTACAGGAGCCGTTATTTGACTTAGGGGAATGGGCTTTACTAGCATACTGTTCACTGGTGGGCAGAAGTGTTCAATGGAATCATCTTGCATCCAAATCATACATATGGGTCAACATTGACCGTGTTCAGTGGGTGAACTGGACCATAGCCAATGACATTTGAACCACTGGGTCACAAAAACTCCCCTGCATTTAAGTAAATGAGAGTATATTCAATTCTGTTACTCAGTAAAAATGTAAACTTACTGTTTTTAATTGTTTCAGTAAATGCATTTAGTAAAAAACTTTAAAATAGGAAGGGGACTAAAGTAGAAAGGAGAATGGAAGGGATGAAACAATTTGGGTTATAATATGTATATACATGGAAATGTCATAATGAAACTCCTTACATAAAAATGTCTTTTTTCAATAAAAAAGGTAAAGCAGATCCTGTCTGGGGGTTGGTACCAGTGGAAGGGGGGAGAATATAAGGAAAGGGTGAAGGAGGGCGAATATGGTGGAACTATTTTGTTCTCATGTATGAAAATGGAAAAATGAGACCTGTTGAAACTAACTATTCTAAGAATGGGAGGGGATAAAGAATGATGGAGGGGTGAATTTAACTAAGATATATTGTAAGCACTTATGTAAATGTCACAATGTACCCCCAGTGCAACAATTATATGATAATAAAATAAATAAAATACATATATATTTTAAAACATTGGTTTATTTTATCCTTGCCCCACCCTTTAAGTTGTCCTCCTTTTGGCATTTAGAGTGTTTCTAACATAATGGTGCACTGGCCCATGCTGTAGCTTCTCAACAAATATGCTTGTGTTGCTGTTGTCTGCTAAAGGGTTTTCCTGAGTAGGGTGCAGTAGGACAGGTTGGAGACTGTGGTTCCAGGCAGTCGGATCAGTGACGTATCCTACTAAGATTCTCATGAGCACTGAATGATGACTTTCATTTCCTTACTGGGTGAAATGGCCAGGCACTTAGTTCAGGACATGGGGATTACAGCACAGGGAGCAGGAAGACCTTCAGGGAGGGCTTTCTGCATAGAATGAGCAAACACATTTTCCTAAGGCTTAGAAAAGGACTTGATTCTTGAGATTTTGGTGTCTCATCTATCTCCTTGGCCCCAAGCTTCTTGTGTCCCTGTGTTGCTACTGCCTTGGTCCAGCACAGGAATCTTGTGAGTCAAAGGCAGCTCCCTGCTGGGCTGCGGGAGCCCTTGGGCCACGTGAAAGACAACATCCATGACAGTTGCTGACTGTCGTGGTGGGTGGCAGGCATCATTCCTGGCACGTGAGCCCAGTCATTGGGGACACATGGGGGCAGCATTCAGACTGTCCTGTTTGAGAATGTCTGTCACGGCTGGGTCAGTTTCTGAATGCAGGTTCAGGCACATTAAGTGTGACAGGAGAGAATTACAGTCAGTGCTATAATCAGGGATACTGAAGCAGGCATGGGCAGTGAGGTGGCACTAGCTTTGACCTGCAGTGCGTATGAGACACTTCTGAGATTCGTGTAGCTCACCTGTAAAAGACTGTAGTGACAGCTCCGTCTCCACACCATGTGTGTCTGTACAGCACACACAAGGACTGGACAATAGTTTATGACACATGCAAAAATGACTGGGACTATGAGTCCTACAGTGTCAGTATGAGCCCTAGAGATTCATGCCCAATGACCATTCTGTGGTTGGGGTTGCTGTCAGGGCCACTCTCATTTACCACCCAGAATGTCAGACCACCTCCACTTGCTGTGCTCTGTCAAAACCGTCATCCATTATTATAAGGGCCTGATTGTAAGATGGCTGATCCTAAACAAAATCTCCTGGGAGAAAGTCTGCTTTTTAGCCTTTAGACTCCCAGATGAGTAGCCTCCTTTTTTAATTGTACAACCTGGAAATGCTTCTTAATCTCCATGTTTCCAGCTGCGAAGTGGTCTTAGGGTTGGTGTGTGGTTAACTAAGGTAATATGTGTACTGCTTACAGAGCATGTGACAGGTGACATTCAGAGATTTATCTATCCAGCTTAGCCCTGGAGAGTGAGAGTTCAGCTAGTCGGGGTGGGCTGGCCAAGGAATGAAGGCAAATGTTGCCACTACCAGTAGCCTCCATCAGGCCATATGGGGCCCAGATGAGCAGTGTTCACTAACATCTTAGTTTTAAGATATTTCTTTTGTGATCTAAATATCTTCTAATCCTCTCTTTCTCTGTTTGTATTGTAGGAACCCAGCTATTTAGTGGTCGAAGTGACTTTAGAATCACTACCTTGAAATTTCATCCAAAAGAACATAGCATTTTTTTATGTGGAGGCTTCAGCCCTGAAATCAAAGCTTGGGACATAAGGACTGGCAAGGTAACACTCTTCTCTCCAGGCTTGTCTTTCCATGGCCACACTTTCTTGACAATGAGTAATTGGGGATGAGTCAGCATCTGTATATAGGACCTTTGAGATGGAATAATTACCACTGAATATTTAATCAGTGCTAAACATATTTTTTAGATGTTTTGAAAGACCATTCTTGCGTTGTTAGGCTATTTAAAAATAGGTGGGCTGGTGGAGCGACTCAAGAGGTAAGAGCACTTGCCTAACAAGCATGAGGCCCTGAGTTCAAACCCCAGTACCACCAAAAAAAAAAAAAAAATAGGTGCAATTCTATGCAGCATATTACTAAAAATGTTTGTTGAATACCTACTGCATGCAAAAGCTTCCAGATGATACAAAGCCTGGGGTTGCTTAAGGAAATAACATATGTGTGCAGCACCTCTGGTGCAGAGAGGTGCTCATGTGTGCATGCACGTGGGCCTGAGAGGGCTTGCATGAGGGGGTTTCCTAGAGGGCATTCTGTTCCCTTCAGGCCTAAAAGCCAGCTGGGATTGCCCCTCCCAGAGTCTACCACACAGGCTGTTCCCATTGTCCTCACCACTTAGTAGATGGTAACTCCCAGTTGTTCAGGCCCAAATATCCTGGTTAGCCCTATCTCTGCTCTTCCCACAATACCCACACCATAACCACCTGCAAATCCTGTTGTTCCATCTTCCTCCCACTCAGCCACTTCCTTCCATGTCCACTGCTGTAGCTCTAGTCTAAGCTGCCATGTCTCTCACTGGGATAGTTTTAGTAGTTTCCTCTTTGGTCTCTGTATTTCCCCAGTGCCTTCTAGTCTTTCTCAACACAGCAGCCACAATGATTTAAGTCAGATGTGTCACTTCTCTAGTTAGAACTCCCAGGTTCCCATCTCGATCACAGTAAAACCCAATGGCTCTGCAATGGTCTTTATGGCCTAAGTGAGCTCCCCACAGCCCCTTCCCATCATCTCTTCCATGCCTTTCCTAGAACACATAAGAATGTTCTTGCCTCAGGGCCTTTGCATTTGCTGCTCCTCCTAGCTGCCATGTTCTTCTCCCAGTTTTCTTCGAGAGGCTGCCTCCTCCCTCCTGTAGGTCTTTTCTCAAATGCCACTCCAGTGAGGTTTCCCTTTCCCACCATCCTATGATGTTCATTAGTCCCCTCTGCTACCTGTTTCCCTCCATAGCTTTTATCATCAGCTGGCATACTATGGATTTTTCATTCCACTCAAATGTTGTCTCTGAGAGGTCAGGGATTTTTGTCTGTTTTCTGCAGTACCTGGCACATGTAGACATGTAGTGAATCATGTGCTTTGTTGAGTGCAGGAGGCAGACCATCATGCAGAGTGTGCAGATATGAGAGGGAGGAACAGGAGATGTATGTGGGCTTGGCTGGCCATAGGGCTCTGGACAGTGGGATGGGCCTGGGCAGAGATCTTCAGTGTCATGTGTCTTGGCACATGTCTTGGCCTGGATTAGTATGTACACCACAGGAGGTTTGTGAAGAGCAACACTAGGAGCAGGGCTGAAAAGGGGCTCTGTGGTGGCAGTGGTGGTCGTGGAGGAGACAGAGAGGCAGAGGTGCAGGTAAAGCTTATGAGAGGAAGAGGCACAGCCTGCCTACACCTGGAGGCTCCATGACTCTAGCAGGCTGTTTTCAGATTGCCCAGGGCTGAAGGGAGACATAGCCTCTTGACTCCAGAGTACCTCCTGATTCCCTGTCCAACCTGCATGGAAGCTGACTACAGAGGAAGAAAATGCAGAATGTCACACAGTGCCTCCTCCATTTGGTATTTGGGAGTTCTCACCCTCAGTGGCTCTTTCCTGCTGTATCTGTAGCAGCAGAAGGTCCCACCTTGGGGGCATCTCCTGCCCCAGCCTGTGCAGGGGCTGTTCTACCCATTAGGAGTGGGGAGGGTGAGGCAGTGCTTCAACACCCAGATTGTAGATCCACTGCCATGGTTGAGGCTGGCACTTCCAGAAAGGCCCTTCTTGGCTGCAGAAGGGCTGTAGGTTTCTGAGAACAGCCCAAGAGCAGGGACCTTGCTTTGAAGACAGCAAGAAGCTTTGTCCATGGATAAGGTCTTGGCTTAGGGATTGGCAAGTGGTAGCACAGAGTTGTACTCTTTGAAAACATAACAAACAGGTTTCTTTTGCAAATAAACCTGCAGGAATATTTGGAAAAGAGAGGAAGATTACCTGTAAACAAGTGGACACAGTGGAATTTAAGAAATAAGATGCTGCAGCTCTTTATATTTAGTATATAAGTACATGATAAATGGAAGACACCAATTGAGTGTGCTGTGAAAATTAGAAACTCTGTCATCCTGTTGAAGCAGGACCACCTGATTTCCCAGCAACTCCTACCAGCCCACACCCTTAAAGGTGTGTTCTGTGTTTTTAGCTTCAGACCAAACACAAGAAATTACTCACCATGGATGCCATCTGATTTAAGAGTTTGTTAAAAACATCGGATTTTCTCCCGAGGCAGATGCCAGCTGACGAGCTCTGAAAATGCTGGGGGAGAAGCAGTTAGAAGCAGATGTTGCTGTGCCTGGTGCTGGCATGTTTGTGAATCTCTCCCAAGCTAATAATGTGGGTGAAGGGTTCTGCACAGTGTTTGTTTTTACTTCCTTTTTACCAGCAATCCTCCCAGGCTGGGTCACAGGGAGTAGTGTGGGGGTTCCCATTTGCATCAGGTGGGCTCAGGGGACAATACCATTTCCTGCTTTGACAAGTGCTGTGTTGTCTGGGCTGGACTCTGCAGGAGGCCCAGGGAGGAGAAACACAGGCTGCCTGCCCTCCAGGGCTCCTGGCTGGAGGCTTCTTGCTTCTGAGCCCTGCAGCTCCAGAGGAGTGCATGGCTCTGTCCCTGGTGCTGAAGTCCCCATCCAAGAGTGAACAACTGACCTTTTCTGACTGCTTCAGGGGTAGCAGTGGGCACCGCAGGTGGTAGAGGAGAGACACAGATCTAGCTTATAATCAAGGTGAGCTTCCCTGTCTAACTAGAGTAGAGGAATGCTTCTTATAAAGTGACGTAATCATGATAAAACTGGGGAGTTCAGGGAAAGAGAGCAGGCATAGTCCAGCCAGCCAAAGGTAAATATTAGTGGTGTTTTGATATTTTTCTTGTTCTTTTCCCCTGTGGTTTCTTTTTCAGTATAAAAATAGTTAGGTCTTATTTTTATACAAAAATTTTGCTTTTCACTAGGTTATAAGGGTTTTGCTTGTTATTACAAACTTTTATAAAATTGTCAGTGTCTTAGACCCAGTGCTCAGAACAGTGTCTGGCAGGCACTTGATAGATTTCTATGGACAGAAGGAATCAGATGAATGAATACTTTCATCTATTGAACCATTTACCTACACTGGACAGGTAGGATATTTCAAAAAACTTTCTGCCATTTAAAAAAAGTAGATGCAAGCAGAGAGATCAGGGTGAGCAAACTGCATCTCAAAGGTAAATTCGGCTTGCTACCTGTTTTTGTAAATAAAGTTTTATTGGAACACAGCCATGCTTATTGATTTATGTACCATCTGTGGATGCTCTCATAGTACAGTGGCAGAGTTGAGACCACATGGCCAGCCAATCAAAAAAAAAAAAAAAACAACAACTTGGAATCTGGTTAACCCTTGGTGTAGAGAAACCTAATTCTGTCATCTGTCACCCAGCTGGCTGACAAAGGGGTGCCCCTGTACCTGACCCTCTTCCATGTGTCCATGTGGAGACCATGTGCTCAGAGAATATCTTTTCCTGGTGGTAGAGAAATTCAGTCAGAAGTGTATAGGTCATTTCTTTTGGTATAATCTCTAAGCAAATTATCATAGTTTTTTGTTTTTTTGGTGGTACTGGGGTTTGAACACAGGGCTTCGCACTTGTGAGGCAGGTGCTCTACTGCTTGAGCCATACCTCTAGTCCTTATCACAGTTTACTTTATCATATATTCTGTTATAAGGAACATCTTTGTGTATCTAGCTTTTTCATATTTGGGATTTACTTCCGTAAGCTTGAGTCTAAAAACTCAAGTTGCCAAGTCAAAGTGAGCCAGCATTCTGGAGGTAAGGAATAGGTTTCTGCCATCAGAACTGAGTTTGAGGTCACTGCTGGAGAATGGCAGCAGAGGCTAGGCAGCCTCTGGCTGGGACCTCAGGGTATAGGATCTGATGGATTGTTGAAACAGATAACTTCTTTTTTTAATTTTAATTTTTATTATAATTCATATGTGCATACAATGCTTGGGTCATTTCTCCCCCCTGCCCCCACCCCCTCCCTTACCACCCACTCCGCCCCACCCCCTCAATACCTGGCAGAAACTATTTTGCCCTTATCTCTAATTTGGTTGAAGAGAGAGTATAAGCAATAACAGGAAGGAACAAGGGTTTTTGCTAGTTGAGATAAGGATAGCTATACAGGGAGTTGACTCACATTGATTTCCTGTGCTGTGGTGTTACCTTCTAGGTTAATTCTTTTTGATCTAACCTTTTCTCTAGTTCCTGGTCCCCTTTCCTATTGGCCTCAGTTGCTTTTAAGGTATCTGCTTTAGTTTCTCTGCATTAGGGCAACAAATGCTAGCTAGTTTTTTAGGTGTCTTACCTATCCTCACTCCCTTGTGTGCTCTCGCTTTTATCATGTGCTCAAAGTCCAATCCCCTTGTTGTGTTTGCCCTTGATCTAATGTCCACATATGAGGGAGAACATACGATTTTTGGTCTTTTGGGCCAGGCTAACCTCACTCAGAATGATGTTCTCCAATTCCATCCATTTACCAGCGAATGATAACATTTCGTTCTTCTTCATGGCTGCATAAAATTCCATTGTGTATAGATACCACATTTTCTTAATCCATTCGTCAGTGGTGGGGCATCTTGGCTGTTTCCATAACTTGGCTATTGTGAATAGTGCCGCAATAAACATGGATGTGCAGGTGCCTCTGGAGTAACCTGTGTCACAGTCTTTTGGGTATATCCCCAAGAGTGGTATTGCTGGATCAAATGGTAGATCAATGTC